ATACAGCATCTACATAGTGGATTCCATCACCAGTTTCATCCCTTGCTGGAAAGAACCTGCAGGTCAGCTATGCTCAGCTCTCTATCTGAGAGCATTACCATGCTAGACACGTTAGTTTGAAGGATCCTTTTGTCGTCTTACACGTTGTTCACAGCTCCGAGCCACTCTGCTGCCTTCCTTCAGGCACAGAGATGGCCAGACCTCTCATTTCAGGGACTGCTGCACGGCGTCAGAGTCTGCTATCCAGAAGATCATGCAGATGCATTGTAGCGATGCTCCTTTCCCTGTTTGAAAGTTTTTTCCGCTGCCAAAATCTTCCAAGCTCTTCCAGCATTTCCCCTTCTTTGCAAAATGCACAAGTCTTACGCTGTTCTGTAGTTCTTGGAAACATTGAAACCACCTGCAGCTTTATGCAGGTGAGCACTCACTGCAACCTCCTACACAAGCTCCAGTTCGGTGGCATGGCATGGTAGCATGGTTTGATGGGGGGGTGAGGTCCGGGTGGCAGAAGCTGCCCATCAGACTGGACTCCCATCCCCCTCGGGGCTTGAGCCAATTGGCACCTCTGCGAATTGCCCTATTTACGTCGGACAAAGGAACCAGAAAGGTGTGCCTGTGCCCAGGAGTGAGGAGAGGGGAGGGGGGCGCTGCCCCCGCTCCCGGGCGCCCAGCTGGGCGGCGGCCCGGGCCGGGCCGGTGCCATCCGCTGGGGATGGCTGCGACGGAGCCGCTTGGGGAACTCAGGGAGAGCCCTGCTCCCGGGGTGCCCACCGGGCCGAGTTCACCCAGAAAAGACTGAGATCTGAGAAATGGCCACACAGATCATCCAGGTCAGTGAAGATGGAACAGGACAACATGTGCCGCGGCTGAGTCCCCCTTGCGAGCAGCCCCTTTGCAACCAGCCCTCGGTGGAGCAAGCAGAGACCCACTCGCAGCCCGTGGAGGATCCACGTTGAGAAGAGATGCCAGAGCCTGAGCACTGTACGCATCTAGAGTCCGTGGGATGACCCCCGCCGATGGGGAGGTGTTTGGTTTAAAGGAGATGCCTGAGCCTGAGACTATTGTGAATCATGGGCACAGGTCGAGGCGCATTTACACATCTAAGTCTGGGCGCATTTACGCGTTTTGGCCTTGTTTTCTTGTTATCCTCTCAAGTAACCACTTTTGTTTGCTTTTCTCTTTGTAGGTAGCTGTTAATAAACTGTTTTGGTTTAAGGAAACTGAGCCTCTTTTGCCCGGGACCGTGGCTGGTGGGTGCTCCTCTGTTCCTGTCTCGACCCTCAGCTCTTTTATTACATTGTTCTCCTCCCCATTTTACTGGAGTGGGAGAGTTGCGTGGAGTTTAGTTGCCAGATCGGCCTAACCCACAACACATGGCTTTCTCCTGAAGGGGGTATTAAGTTGGGCATTAAGGCTTGCTGATCCCAAAATGATCCCATACATTGCCCCAGTATGATACTTGCGTATCAAAAATACATTTGAATAAAGAGAGAATTATTAGAGCAGCCACAGAAAATCACTAAAATGTCATGTTCCGCTCCAGGACGCATAGTCCTGCCCAAGCCTTATGTCCAGCTGCCATCCAAACATTATTGCCTTCTGCCTTTGTCCATTAGTCTCCAGCAAAAATACACCTGCAGGTATGTTTTCGCAGGAGAACCTTTATCTTCTGCCACTTCCAAACGCTATGGAAAATTAAGTGGCTGGCATCAGTTATGTAAGAAAAAGGTAACTCGAATTTTACATCCAAGTAGAAACGTAACCCAAGCAAACTGTTAGTTATTTGTGTTTTATTTGCTCTATTAAAAACTCTAGGAATACCAAAACTTTTTGCCGAGTATAAAAATGACATGTTTTTTTTCCAGGTGTCCATAGAAACACTCGTTTATTTAAAAATAAATGTAAAACCTGCAAAATACCTTAATTTAGTTTTGCTAAAAAGCACCTTCATTATAAAAAGGATGGGCAAAAAGGGTGAACTAGTTGCTCTATTTCAAGCTTGCTGCTTTAATTCGATGCTGCATATAAAGCAACAAACAAAAATTCTAAGGAATATAAAAAGTTCTTGTGCCTACAAAAGCCTTAATAACACAACACCGAGCTGATGAACAATGGCACTGGCATGACAGGATTTCCATTTCCAAGAAATACTTGGGTAAATTTAAGACTTTAGGAATACGTGCATTCTGTCCCAATAATTAACAGTATGTGGTGGCACTTCTCTTTGCAGGGCGACTTCCAGCGGCATACACCTACCAACGCAAAACGTGCTTCCTCCTGGGAGACTGAGCTGCAGCAGCACAGGCCACTCCAGGTTAGCCAGTGGGCTGGAGACTGGGCAGTAACTCAGGTCTGGGTGAAAGAGCAGAATTTGGATTTAATATTCTATACTAAATATAATGCTAGATTTAATTTACTGTTCCTGGCTCAGCATTCTCCACTAACGCCAATTTCTATGTAGTTTTAATGGAGAAAATTGTCCATTAAAAAAAATGGTAAAACCCATTTTTAATACCCACAGTTCATTAAGGTGCAAGCAAAATTGCTGCTTCCCAGGTTCTTTATCACTGCATCTTTCTCAGACTTGTATCCTAAAGGTTCATTTTTCCAAATAGCATCATTTTGGCAGGGGATAAGGTCAGTGCACTCCCAGATTGCATGCTGCCTATCCCTGCTGCAAACTTACAGGGATATGCAAATGCTCAGCATCTCTGAAAGCCAGGCTTGCTAGACATCTAAAACAAATGTGCAGAGCATGAATATTGCCATTACCAGAGAATTAAAAAAATCTGTCTGTATTCAAAGTAAAAATAAAACTGGGAAATTTCAGAATTTCCTGAGGTGCTCTTTTTGATCAATTAGAACTTTGGCTTCATTTCAATTTGGCATTTATTTAACAGCACAATGCAAAATATAAACTACATTGTGAATAATATAAAAGCTTTTTTTCCAAATGGGAATGCCGGAACATTTCCATTGCTTTTTTTTCCTCAAACATATTTTTTAGCAAGTATGATTTTATGAAGCAGTTAATCCTCAGTGGAGCTGTATTCTCCAATAGAAAAAGGGACTGTTGTTTTTTGTAGTAGAAATTACATAGTCTAATAATTTTCACATTTAAAAGTTCTACAGTTCTACTTGCATCTTCGCAGGTTTTTCACAAAAAACTCAAGTATGCCCTTTATAATAATTTGCAGTGGAAGTGTCTACTCATGTTAAAACCCCTAAATTGGGTCCAGTCTAGGCTGAACGGTTAAGTTGTACATTTTTCATGTATTTGGGAACTTATGCAAGTTCTGAAATAAAATAAATATTGGTGTTGATGGAAGAGAAAGCACAAATGAGATGAGAGTTCATAAAAGCATCACCTGTGTGGAGATGTCGAAAAGGCAAAGTTCACTCATGTGTCACAGCAAAAGTACTGATGGCATGAAGAAGTGATCAGATGGAAAGTTTTAAGTGAGAGGGAAAAAAAAAGGGAATTTTTCCCACAGAAAGAATAACTAAACTGAACTCCTTGTGAAAGGACACAGTAGAACCCAAGAGGGTAAGTTAAAAATGGATTGGATGAATTCATGGAGTATGGGTCTGATCCGTGGCCATCAAACACTGCTCCGACCGCAGGCTCTGGTCAGGAGCTCCTTGAGCCCCACGCTGTGATATTCTCACACTCCTCCCAAAACCTTCGGTACCGGCTGCTGTCAGAGGTGGAACACTCATCGTCTTTGCAAAAATCCAGCCGAATCGCAGAGATGCCTAATTTTATAAACAACAGCACAGATATACACTCCCAGCTCTATATACAGAAATTTGGGAATGCACACTGCTGGGAGTCCAGATACACATTCAGCTTGAAAAAGCTGGCTTCAGAAGTCGGGACGTTAAAAGGTAAGCGTCTCACAATAGAGCTTTTTAGGCATCTTCCTCAAAAAGATACTGCGCTAGATACTTCTTCTTAATATGCATTTTTGTTAATAATCTGTTCAATCTAAACTATCAAACATGCTGTGCAACATGACTGAACGAATATTGCTGTGAGAAATATTTTCCTCTTGCTTGAGTAATTTAAATTTGTAAGCTAATGTAAGTTTTTGTATTAAATAATGTACTGTGTGCAATTTTCTTTCTTGTAAAGCACTTTGAAGCTTTCAAAGGGCACTCTAGGTTAATAAATAATATGGCATTCTTTGCCAGAACTGTAGGGCATTTCCCATAAGTTTTTTATCTTCTGTGCCAGAATTGCAACATGTTGCATGCCAAATCCTGCACACAAATGTTCTACATGTGGCAGATACATATTGGTAAAGACCAGAGGCATGGGATTCCCGGATTTCTTAGAGAGAGTGGGGGAAGGGAAAGAAGTGGGAGGGAATAATGAGGGAGGGCAGAGAAAAAAAAGTTATGTCTGTGCGTACATCTGGAAAAAAAAAAAAAACACAAAACCAAAAAATAACCCCCACACCCAAGACAACAACCCACAACCCACACTTCATTCTATTCAAAGAGCAAACCGTTTGCTGCACGCAGCGCACAGGTACCCAGAGCTGGGCCTTTAGTTTTCCTTCAGTTATGGAAATCAGGCCTTCGTTTCTGCAAAAGCTGTAGATTCTTCAAACCCAGATGTTTGTAAGGGTTGAAACACCTGCAATCCTTGCTTCTCCAAGCACAGGCTAAGGTAAACAGAGAGGCTGTGAGCCTGGAGAATCACGGTCAGGATTATCACTATTGAAGACGAATTCTCTTCTTTGGGCAAAGCTGTGAACATATTTAATGCGCCCCAGGCTACTGGGAACAAACCAAGACCAATATTTATTAAGAGCCAACACTCGCCTTTTGCAGTCTCCCCCACGGACAGCGAGGCTCCTATTTCTGCAGCGTGGAAGAGGAGAAGTGGAAAGCAGTAAGACCCACAAATGAAGTCAGTGCATTTGGCCACATATCATATAAGTTAGATTACTGAAAGATATTAAGAGTTTAAAATGTCTTTGGTTACAATCTTCTTGATTTAATCTCTTTATGCATTAAGCACAAACAAGTAATTTCAACATTCCCCACTAGTTTGGACTGAACGTCTACAGTAATTCAAAAATTTTACCATCTCCTGCCCTTCACTAAATTTTAAGAAAATGGTGACAAAAATTATAATCACACAGCAACAACCAACTAGTTTAAAAGGTAATAAAAACTCCTTGGACCTTATCAGGACTTAAGCACCAGGATTTGCTACACGTTTGAAAACCAAACTGAAGTTAGAACTGAACTCCACATTCTGCAACACTAAATGAACGTTTTACTACATGGTTTCTTTTGAGGTGGCAAGAAATGACTGTAAAACCTTTGCTGTTGCCGGAATTACATTGCTTAGAGAAAAATATCCTGTAGGTTACCATTTGTTGCCATGATTTACAAAGATAAGGCCTATAGTCTGTATCAGTTTCACGCTGAAATTTTGAAGGAAAAAAGGTTTCTGCAGAGTTTGTTGATTTCTGCATAAGTGTCTGTGTTGTTGCGAAGACGGCTAAGTGATGCTCTCTCACAAGCTTTTCAAGAAAGTTAGCACATTTCTTCAGATTCATCTCCTGCAAGTTAAGACTCTCTCCTCCATTGCTTCTGTCTATCCAATAAAAAGCTGATATGCTATCTAAAATCAAAAGGCAGAGAGAGGGGTGAGCGCAAAACATGTTTTCCAAAGAGTGGAGAGTGAGGAGTAACTGAGTGCTGCTATTGCAGTTCACAAGAAAAAGCCTCCCCAGGCACTGCTTTATCATCTCTTCTGTCCTCTGCGCCAGTCTGTTCTCCAGAATGGTGACTAGACGAAGCATATCAAAGTGGTAGTCTGTATCAATGAACATGACTTCTACTTCCAGTCCTCCTCCTGATTTTGGGATGATGCAGCGGGCTACTAGGTGATAAAGCATTTCTGTTTTTCCTGTTCCTTCTGGACCATGGAATTCAATGACATCTCCTGTTCAAAAACAAAGCAGCAAGCCGTTAGGTAAGAGCATTTATAGCTCAGTTTTCAGTGTTTACTGAACCAATACTCGCTATGCCACTAATTGGAAAACGCATTTTTGAAAGTTTGATATCCATAAAACTGTTTAAATCCTGGTTAGCATCTACCAAGAAAAAATTCAATTTTCAAGAAAGGCCTCTGAAGTGAAAACCAACTGGGAACAAAGGTTGAAAAAAAAAAAATCCTGCCAATAGCATCTAGGACACCAATGTAAAAAGGTTGGCAACTGGATTTCATCTATCGTTATAAGTTGATGAAGGCTGAAAACAAAGCTGCTACGCAAAAGTGGCTAAGAAATCACCTATTTACACTATGTGCACAAAATTTAAAAAGTAGAGGACAAGCAAAACAACCAAAAAAAAGACTTGATGTATTAGAGGTTGAAATCATGTTGGCACATCTATTTTTACAGCGCAGACTGTCCTTCAGCATTTCACGTCTGCTGTATGTTTGTTCAATATCTGCACGTCACAAGACACCAGCAGGACTCCGTGACTGGTAAAGAGAACGCCAGTATATTTATTTAGCACTTATATTCTCCTGTGGTGATCATACTATGAAACTGCTTCTTTGACAAGGGAGACTCACAGATTCCTTCAACTCCAGGCAATGACTCTGCTGCCTGAAGCAAAAGATCACTGTTCAGAAGTGGACTCAGCCTAACTGCCTGATCCATGTGCATCAATAAAATAGGCATGACAGATTTAAACTGTTAATTAAAAAAAGCATTATGCTTTGCTAGCAAAGCAGTTTTTCTGTTGGATGTGAATGTAAGATACTCTGAAGTCTTTTCTAAAGTTGTCTTCTATCTTATGGCAGAACAAGACTCTCAAAAAAGTTAATTTATTAGTTGCTCTTTATGAATTTCTAATTTAGGGAATTGCATCATTTATTTATGACATTTTGGATTTTAGGCAGAAAGGTAAAGACATGCAGTAAGGAGAATCACACAACTGATTCTCAGAAATCAGGAAGGTGAGAGATTTCTATGGTCTCGGCAGGTGCAAATGGCATAACAGCTTTTCCTAGAGGGGATGCACGAATATAGAATTAATTGCAACTTAAACATGTTTGTGCCTGCCTGAGTTAACAGGGTTTTTCAAGTCATTACTCAACTTCCAGAGGAGGTCCTTGTTCGTAAGCGTGTATGTCAAGATGCAGCACGGGATGAGGGGCGGAGGGTGGTGGGGAAGAAACCAAGCCCTTACTTCACCCATTGCAAGCACTGAAAGCAATTGACACCTGATGTGACAATTCTATCCATTTCAGTAACACCCAGGCTGCCCACCTCTCCATAATGAAATTTCCTGCCGCTCCACAATGGCAATTCCATTTTCCTGAATTTCTGATACTTCCAAATGTATTAAAAAGCTTAATTGCCTTCCAAACCCTTAATTATCTGTTCTGAATGGCGCTCTCCACTTTTGAGATGAAAGACAACTACACTTCCTATGACACAAATCTTCACTTTCTCTTCCAGTTCAGAGGTCGCAATGTCCAACTCCGCCACTCGCAGCCAGCAGCTGCTCTGCTCACACAGATGGTGCCAGTGACATAACCACGCCGTTAGGTTAAGATGTCAGCTTGGAAGAACTCCTTCTAAATGTGCTGGGTAGGTCATTCCCTCATATTTCAAGTCTATTGAAATATTTTGGAACGATTGCATAAGGCACCTCTTGTCAAGGAACAAAGTCTATCTTCTCTCTGCCACTGGCTTTGGCACAAGACTTCTGCCATCCTGACCAGCATTTCTGAGTCCAGATCAATAACTGAATTGGGCCAATATGCAATACAGATTGCTTCACCTACTTTGACAGCAAAATATGACTTGTTTAAGAAAAAACAGCAACTCTATATGGCCACTCAGAAGTAGCAGGGGGCAAATCTGAGTTACTGGTGGGTAATGATTCAAAAAAGTTATTCTGTGAAATAAACGCTTGACTTTATCCATTTGCAGATGTTCTATCAGGATGTCTGTGTGTTACAGAAAACATAAGAATTAACAAATTTAAGTAAAAATTCTATGTTGAATAAATAAAAAAAAGAAAAACAAAATCATTCTTAGGAGTTTTTGTGGTGGTGGTTTATAAATTTTAACAGCAAGACAGCTAAGCACCCTTCAAAGCTTGTTCAACACTGTTGAACAAGATACACATCTGGGTTGTAGTTGGACCAAAACACTTAAGTTACTCTGAAAAAGAGTAGCAGTTTGGACTGTAAGATAACCTCAAGAGAGCTGGGGATTTCTGGGCCTTCATGATTATCAAAGAGGCTGCCCACAAGAAGAATGGGTGCAAACCAGAAACCATTTATAGCAACATCTATAAATGTAGGGTTTCATTAAATTAGCAACCAGGCTGTTACAGTGAGATAAGAGGGGAAACTCATCCTCTGGATCAGAGGGGACAAACCGTGACACAGCAGAGGAGGAAGCGGGGCCAGAAGTGTTTTCAAGAAGCCTCTGACACCCTCACAATAGCTCATGGCAGAAACTTAGCCATCAGTACTAGCACCAGCCATTAATGTCAAATTAATGTCAACTTGGAAAGGAGGATTAGTAAAAAGACACCGTCACAGGATGAAAACAGTCTGAGAGGCAGAGTAGGAACAGACACTTTAACATGGAAGAAAGTTAATTTGAAAATTTCCTATCAGAATTGGCATTGCCCAACATTAAACATATCAGTAGATAAATGTTTCATTAGCTTGGCAAAACACGTAGAAGACAAACTAATTGAGTTAATAAAGACTTAAGACTGTGAAGATTTAACAGCTCAAGATGGATGAGCAGAATGATTTCATACGAAATTCAGCACTGAAAAACTCAAGAAGTATGTTTTAAGGAGTCACCCAAACACATTGCTTCACTCACGATAGCTTCAACTGGCCATCTATGGGCAGGCTAAAGAGTATAACAGTTCACTGCTATGCAATGGCACACAGGATAAACGAAATGATGTTGCAGAAACTCAAATATTTAGGGAACACTAATATGTTTTTCACTAAAACATTGTGCTCAGTCCTGGTCATCAATTCAGTGTTATCTTTTGAATGAGAAGAGCCTTAAGTTTGGTTGTAATCATTAGACTGGCAAACGGTGGTTAAACTATTTTCTGACACTGCAGCTACAAACAGGCTATTGGAATACTCAGCAATAACTCCGCAGGTTCACATCATCAGATACCTTGAAGTTACTGGACTAGTAATTTACAATACTGTGCAGAAGCTGTCACTAGTATTTGTAGCACTGAAGAAGTAGAAAGGCCTAGTATTTACTTCGAGTTAGTGCTGGGTGTCATACTACTGCTGAACATCAGAGCTTCATAGTGACACTCAAACCTTCACACCAGTGGCACAGGAGAAATACGACTGGCAAAAGTGGAAGATAGTTTAAAGCTCGTGTCACATTTGCTCCATTCCAGAAGAGCTTAAATGGTATGTAATTAAAATGCTTATGCGTTCTTAAATATGGCAGTCCATCATAATTAGCAGCAGTGACTAGAATATCACAGCAGTACCTGCAATAGCTGTTCCTGTTTTATAGTACTTTGACATACACGTTACGAACACTTAACTATGACGTAACCTCTGGAGAGTGTGATGAAACTTCTTATATATGTATGTTTGTTTCAAATACCGTCAGGAAAAAGAATAATTTAGGTCTTCGCATTGCTTTACTCATGGCATTTTACATTAAGAGCTGTTCGGTACAGACTTCATGGGCAATGTATTACAGTATTCCACAGGGACCTACTAAAAGTCAAGTTCGTGACAAATGGAGAGGTAGGTCTTCAACAGGGATTTAAGACTGAATCATGAGAACACACATCAAAATAACACATGGACTCATAAATACTGTGGTATTACAAGACAAAGGAAAAATGTAATAAAAGGTGAAGTCCGTTTACGTATATGAAGCTAAAGATCCGTGCTAATATGTTATGCAACTTCACTAATGTCAGCGAAAAAGCATGACCAATACAGATAATAATTGATGCCATTTGTTAAAAGCAGAAGGAAAATAGAAGTGCTTCAGAAGCTCAATGACTGTGTTGGCGCAGAGAAACCAGTGACGAGTTTAGAAGGTTTCCAGCCATCTCATAACTGAGGTTCTGGAACAGTCTTTGGACAGACACAAACAATCTAACACAGCTTTAAGATTAAAGCCAAATGGCTTTTTTTCATTAAAAACATCCAATCATCATCTTAAAACTTCTTGCTAGAAGAATCTACCTTAAATTTATTGTATGGGCATCAATGGGAGGTAGCCCAATTTCTCCAGTTTGAAATTCTCATTTGTTCACTGAAGGTCTATAGAAGCCATTTTGATCCCAACATTGTCTGTGAACTCATTCAGCGGAGTAGTACGTATGTTCATAATGGAATTGCTTCCAAAGTTCCATCTAAGTATGATCAGGATTTTTCAGGTCACGACCAAACGGCTCGATAATTTAGCTTTATTGAAAAATGCCCCTTTTCCTTACTGATCCAGACCAGTCCATGTCACTGAGCTCTTTGCTATTTATTGAACCTCGAGTTCTTTGCAAATTTCTGCAGTTATGACTTTGTAGTGGTTTTTTAGACCACTAATTAAAAAAAAAAAGTTAAATGATAGAATCTAGAAAAAAATTCTATAAAACTATTAGAAACAGACCAACTCACCTACTCATCTTTGTTTTGATACCCATAAAGTAGGTATTTTAAAGTCCATTTAATAACGTTTGGGACGCCGACTTGGCATTATTTCATTTTATCTAGTTTGCATAAAACTATTATCAACAATTAAAATTCTGAATCCAGGGCAAAAACATCTACTTGTAAGCTGATCTCTGTCATATTGCTCTGAGAATACTTTTACATCCACATTTTTCCATAAATGGGATAAAGAATCATTTTTACCATGAACAGGAGATCCTTCCTCAGCAAACAGATATGGTTCAAGATTCTTCAGAGAACTTCTACCCTCAAGTCGTGCAAGTAGCTTTTAAAGAAAAGACAGAAGAGACATACTGTTAGCTCAAAATAATGGACGTTTGGAATCAAATTTAAAGGATTCTGAGAACTGAGAGTTTTCCATGACAGCCTTATCAAAAGATTAGTTTGATTTTAAAAATGTTTTCATAAATACATAAGAAAATGTGTAGTCTGAACTACAGCAACAGAAGACTCCATTCTTACAAACAATTAGCACACCGATTCAACAGCAATAAGGAGTGGATATACATCAGGGGAAATAAAGTTTAAAAAAAAAAGCTGCACAGGTAGACTAGCAAGAGCCATTGCCTCTGGTATAGAGCAGTGCTGCTATTTGACAGAACAAAGGAAAAGAAGATCAGCTATAAAAACCATCACTTTCACAACAAACTACTGGTTGAGAGGTGGAACATTACCCATCATTAGTCTCCTGAGTCAGTCCCTCTGAGCATTTATAAGTAAGTAAAAATATATACACAGGTGAGCGCCGTTCCGAAAGGGCGGGCAATAGCCTCTGTTTCCCATGGCAGGGGGATGGAACTAGATGATCTTTAAGGTCCCTTCCAACCCAAACCATTCTATGATTTAATCTGAAAAGTCACACAAGACTCTTCCGGACTGCAATTCCATGATTTATATATATATAATAGTTGCTTGTTCAAACATAGTATTCTATGATTCTATGATTCTATATAATAGTTGCTTGTTCAAACATAGCATGGATTAAGAACTATCAAAAGTAATTAGCCATCAGTGGCTCTGCAAGAACCTTTCTAAAGCAAGTTCCTCCAAAGCCCCTTGTAAAGCAAGTCCATTGTAAACCAAATTGGTCCAAAGTTCATGGACAATTTCTTAAATGGACAGGTATTTGCACAGCAAGTAGACAGGTATTCACACAGCTTGTGCTGTTTGTAGCTCTGGCATACATTCCTAAATCAAGAATGAAGGTTTCACCCAGTGCTAGAGCTGTTACTCCCTAGGGTGTTAATGCACACGGGAAAGGGCACTGCCAGGATGCTCAGAGCACTGCCAGAGCATGTAACTCTGGTGCCAAATATTTTGTTCTCCACGGCGTCCAACTGTCCTTTAAAGATTTAAACAAAACAAATCAAATCTTGTTCAGTTTTATCCTGTCCTCCTTCAAGCCAGTCACCAAATGAGCTGTGAGCACAAACCTTCAAAAACACGCTGCCTTATCTTGCTTCCCTCCCTGCCACATCGAGGAGCAATGTTTGCTCTGAATTGTCTTCGAAGTTGTTTAAAGAGTTGTGTCTGTGTGTTTGCCTTTAATAGTAGAATAAAACTCCATTAAGTGGCCCTGAATTTACTTCAAGTGGTCACGACGGGAATCTAAGTGTGACATTTTCATTGACATTTTAACATTCCCTTCCATTAACAAAACGTCAATGTGTTTGCCTTTGTTTGCCCGTTCACACACATTCAGGAGAGTTTTCCGACATGTCCACTGAAGGGCCATAAAACCATCTGAATTGACCTTGCTCTGGATCTGCAGGTTCTCCCGTTACGTTTCATACGTTTGTGCAGCGCAGAAAACACTCACACGGTGAACTCTGGAATATTTTGGGAACCAGGAGGGTTTTGTGACCTGGGCAAAGCAAACATTCAGTTGGATATACGTACACAAGAATCTAGGAACGTATCTCAGGGCACGTAAACCAGGAGCTTGCAACTCCCAAGAGGGCCATCAGAGATCCTACACACGCAGTCCTCCCGTGCAGGTGGCCACCTGCGCCTGGCCCTGGCAAGGAGAGGCTGCACCCGCTGCGGAGAAGGGTCGGGAATCTCTCGTCCGCTTGTCTGGCCGTCTAAGTTGAGAGAAACAGGAAAACCACCACAGGCTGCTGCTTTCTGATGCTCTTAATTTCTTAGCAAAGGAAACACCACTCTGGCACTTGGTGATCACAGCAGCTCAATTACAGGCGCTGCTGGGGCGGGGAGTCACAACTATTGCTGGTCTAAACACATTTCTGCAGCCTCCTGTTTTTAAATTTATTTCTACATTACCAAATACATCCTCTGCAGTTTATTTCTTCTGGAAACGATGAGGCCCCATCTCTTCTTAGATCATCAGCTCTAAAAGCTTGCTGCTAGAGCTTTGGAAACATACAGGAGATTGATCACTGTCGCTTAAATATGAATCTGCGGTTATTTAAATGATGAGTTTATATATTCATTTTAAATAACTACAGGTGCTTACTCTGAGCACTGTTCATGTAGGTAATTTATGATAATTCGCTGATGATAGCACACCTGTGTTTTTATCAAACTTTTATTTACTTCCGAGTTCTGAAGCAGAATCTCCAAAGGCACTTGCCTCATTAGCGTCACGCTGGGAGCAACGGGGTTCCTGGCAGAAACAGCTCACAATTTTCCCTCAAATCTAACAAAGGTTTGTCCACACTACAGCAGAAGCAATGGAAGCGAAGCTGAGATGAGACACTAAGCAGGCGTCCCTCACCTCTGCTGACATTAAGGACAGCCACGACGCAGGTTTTTTTCCCGAATGGGCAAAAGCCACCTTGGCTCTGCTCCAGGGGAGGCATTTCCATTTTGCCTTCTCACGTTTTCTTCTGTAAAATGAGGAGGGTGGGAGGGAATCTATAGGCAATTAAAGGGTGATCTGGATGGCGGACATCAGGCGTCCCAAGCTTTGTCGCGTATAGAACAGAACGGCACAGCACTGCTGAAGAGAGCCTTTGAGTGGGAAGAGCTTGGGAAAAAACCCATCAAAACAATTTCAAATCACGTACTGGAGACTTCGGATTCTATAATTTAACTGTAGATGCTTGTTTCTTCTTTCATAATGCTCTTTTTATCTTTTACACAAAACCCCACCTTTTAGCAACCTGTTAGTGGTAGGCCTTCACTCTTAGATGTTCTTCAAAAGTGTAATTATACTAGCGGGAAACTGCACATATGACCAGTTACATGTCAAAAACAAGCTGTACAGCAAGAGACAGGCAACAGTTGGGTTAAATCTCATTAATGACAAGGCTGATGGATCTCAAATATTTCAACTATGCCATTTATAATTAGTTTCATCTTTTTAATAAAGAAATAGGCATATGGGCAGTCCCATTGACTAATACATTATATGCTTACGCGATATTGGTTTCAAGGAAGCTAGGCATAAACGTAAGCTTACATGTAGGTCTTGTCAGGAATGAGATATTACTTCATTAAAATGTTAAAAGAAATTCAAATTAAATACTCTAGCTCTGTTAGAGGCTGTGAGCTAACCTACAGGCTATTTACAAATACAAACCTATCTTGAGTGTGAGACAAAATTTAATTTTCAACCACTATAACCACTCTGACTGAGCTTTTGTAAACTTTGGGCACAAAGACACATGCAAGCAATTTATCATTTACTTTACTGAGATACACCAAAGAGGTTTTGCGAGAAGTTCTAATTTGTAGTATTAATTACATTCAATAATAGGAGTACAAGACTGCGGTCTCAGTATAACTCTGACTAAAACCTGATCTTACGTATGAGGCTGTTTGAGGAAGTATTGATTTAAATTAAGTATTTTCTGTTTCAAGGGCTTTTACCATTTTTTCTGAACAACGTACTCATACATTAACCTTTCTTAACCCACCTGTTATCAATTCCTCCCTCGTTCAGGTTTGGTAATCCATTCCCTCACAGGCAGTTGCTGCCATGTGCATTCCCTGCTGCCATGGCTTATGTGGACAAGTAAATGCATTTACCCACTTGGACAAAGAGCACAACTCATGTCCTTAATTTGTGTATATTTGCTGATAGTGAGCAGCTGTTACTATTTTATTTAAGTGTCAAAAGGGCTAAAGAACTCAAGTCCCACTGAAAAAACATGGAGCTTTAATAAGAAGTATTATCAAATGTTTCTTTGATGTGTACTACTCAGCATATTCTGATACAGTAACACACAAATCTCCAATTAATTAGGTTGCTGCTTCCAAGCAGAAGTCACTAACAAATAAACCATCCAAGGGAGAAAAAAAAAACACAAAACCAAAAAACACCATCATCACCCCAGAACTATTCTCCAAAGAACTGGAAAGCAATGCCACCTTCCATACTCTTTATTTAAACTGAATCTTCCTCACAGCATCCACTCCAACGTTTCGGAGGGGGAGCGCGAAGAAAACACTTGGAAAGGGATTACTGAAGCACCCGAATAACCTCCCCCCCGTGCTGCAAAGAAGCGCCACAGACACCCAACCCGAGTCCCGGAGCG